CTCCATCCAAAAGAATTTGTGGGTAACTAAAAGAAAATATTGTTGGAATCTTGATTTCACTTTGGACTGACCCATATCACATATTTAGCTGTAGTGTGTGAGTCTCTCGGTGGAAATTGTCTACATACACAAAGACTTGAAATCGAGATATACTTAAGTGATATCAAACTATTTACCACTTAAATCAACCCTGTTGGTAATTTTTATTTCACTTTACAATAGATGAAATACTAAAATTGGAGTGTTTGGGACAAGATTACTTGATTTTTTAAAAATAAAACCGATTTTTATCTTATACTTTTATTATAATTTTTTTTGAATTAATCACTTATATACGATCTATTGATCGACTAATCTATATCGAGTATTACAGAGGTGAAGACGACCTACCCAACTCAATTTATTTCATTCGTAAACGTCAGAGTTCGAACGCTTAACTTTATTTGAGGAATATAATCCCTCATGTTTTTTATATACTTTTATTATAATTAGTAGTACAAAAATTAATTTTAACAGACGAAAATAAAATTTATTACATGTCCTCATAATATAAATGAGATTAGATAATATATTTAATCTAATTTTATGATTAAATTAGAATTTAAATCTAACTTTAAATTATTAGAAATAAAAAATAATCTCATACATTGAAAATGATATATTTATAACTCAGAATTACAATATTACTTTTTAATATTACAAAAATATATAAAATTATAAATTTAATATATTGATTATGTTAATTATATATTAAATATATTTTATTAAAATTTAAATAGCATAACGGGCATATGAAAACGTAGCTAGGGTTCATAATTCAGTTAAAATTAAATTAATTGATCGAATTAAAATTTCAGTCAATTAATTTTAAGTTTGATCGGTTAATAATTAATAGTATTTTTCAAATTTCGATTAATTTGATTCAAAATTGATTAATTAATCAAATTAATCAAAATTAATCAAAATTATTAAAATATTTAATATATTAAATATATTATTTAGCTTTACGGGTATTTAAATTTCGATTTTAATCGATTTAAAGGATCAGATTAATCGAATAAATCAAAATATTAGATATTTAATATATAATATATAATATATAATATTTATATATTATTTATAAATTTCAACTAATCGACCAATCAACCGAACTTAATTCGTTTTGATTAATTTAAAAAAAATTCACTTAATAATTAAAAAATCGATTAATGAATTTTAAGTAATTCGTTTATATCGGTTAATCAAATTAATAGATTTAACACCCTAGATGTAGCCATTGTCTTCGGGTCACCCATCATGCAATCTCTCTCTTTTCTATATCTATTAACTCCCCAACACCCCGTTTAGTTCCAAAGTCGCTTTCTTGAAAATATGGTGATACCGAAGGATCATATGGGTTCATAGGTTGTATCTTTAATTTTTTTTTGAATTTCTATATAGTTTAAATATTTTTATTAATAATTTAATATTATAGTTTTGATTTTTTAATTCCATATTATTTATAAGATTTTAATTTAGTATTCTCTAACATAAAATGGTATCTATAGGGATAAATCGAGGGGCAGATGGGGGCAATCGTCTCCTGAAATTTTAAAATTATTATATATTTTAGATTTTTTTTTATATATTTTCTATTAAAAAATATGTTTTCACCGTAACACCCTAGACCAGTATGACACACAGTCGATTAATTTAAGGTGCTACACAGAATCACCGAAGTGACTGATCAACTTTTTTTTTTACTTTCTTTAAATATAAAACAAATGTAAAATAAATTGAAGAATAAATAAAATCTTTACACTGAGGAGTTTTAAATTAAAATAGTTACACTTTACAAAAATAATACAGACCGCTCTACTGAAACTACGACTCAACTGAACAATAAAGTTTACAAATATACATGTCCTTTCAAAAATGTTGAGACGTACTTTGAATCTTCACTGGTCTGAAGTGGGTTTTGATCTATCTACTGCTTTTCACCTGTTGGATCTACTAATATGCCCATGGAAACAATCTGAAGGCTGAGCTAACTAGCTCAACGACACACTAATAACTAAAACATACTAACTGCATATCACTGAAAGGCTAGCTATCAAATATACTGATCTGATCTGCTTAGTGAATATCCTTGTGATATTCGCTCTCTACGCTACTGTAGACATCATGGTGCGGCTAAGGGATTACTACATCTCGGAGCTCACGCACCCCTTTAGTCTACTGGGATATGGCCCCCGGAATTCTGCATTGGACATTATATCCCTGACTAACCCACCCCTTGCAAGTGTCAGGCCTCAGCCTTAGTTAGTTGGTTTTAAAGGTCTTGCGTCCTACCTAAGGATATATCTGAACTGCATCTGTAATTTCGACTCCACTAGTTTTTCTAAAGGAACTCGGGTGTCCGAATCGTTTCCCAAGCATCAAACAAGGTTAGTCTTATTTGTCCCTAATTATTTGGTTTCTACGTTTGAATTAAACATCAATTATGTTCTCACTTGTAGCCTTATTTGATGATATAAAGAAGTGTTGGGTACCTCAAGTCTAAATCCCTCGAAAATGGAATGTTTGACCCAAAAATACTTAAAGTATCGATACTAGCCAAGAGTATTGATACTCCTACAAAGGTTTTGATACTTTATATAAGTATCGATACTTTTAAACATTCTGTTCTGCCTAGTTTCGATACTTTCTGGGAGTTATCGAAACTATGACCCAAAGTTTTGATACTCTTGAAAGAGTTTCGATACTCTTACCCAGAAAACACGATTTTACCCATAAATGAAGAACAAGTATCGATACTAACCCTATAGTATCGATACTCTACCTGAAGAAGTCATAAAACAAGCACGAAAAACTCTATTTTTGAATCCCAAAGTCCCCAGTGAGGTCTCCAAACGTTCTTAAAGTCTTATGTGATCCTAAGGGATCATAACTAAGGCTTAGAAACATGCTGGAAATATTAAACATAAAATCTACTATGGAAGGCTAATAAACATGCTCATACTCAACTTTCAAGTTAAATTTCTTTCTAATGATCCTACAACTTGTATGGAAAAGCTAATAGTGTGTTACCTGGATTCTTTGGATGCTATAGCCTCTCTCAAACAACTAAGAATCCACCTTTCTTTTACCCTTGGCTTTTGAACTATCTTCAACCTCTTTCACTAACAAGGTATTTGAAATGAGTTATTTACTAAACTAGAGGCTGAATAAAACTTAAATATATTCCCTATAACTCAAATCATTTCTTAAAATGGCTTAAATCACTTAATTTCTTAAAACCCATAAAAACCCGTTTTTGAAAATCTAAACCAAATCTTAAGATTAAAAGCTCTAGTAAAAGCTTAGGAAATGAAGAATAGGTTTCTTACCTTGGTTTCTTCAATCTAGGCTTGAAATCTCAAGGGCTTTCACCTCTTTGTTTAACTGTAGGAGAGGAAAGGAAGAAGAGAAGAGGAGATATTTTTAGGCTGATTATTTTCGTTGAATTCTCTGGAGAAGAAAATATTTATAGCCTTTGAAACAACTATGGGTAAACTACACTTCTAGTTCTTCTTCCTTTAACTTACCTTTAAAAACGCCACTAACTTTAGCCTATTGGGCCAACCTAAGCCCAATACCCTTAAGGATTGGTCTAGTTTAGCTTAGAAAATCTAATGGGCACACTTGACGAGTTTCGGGTTGACCGAAACTACTGACTCGAAAATCGAGGCATTACATTTAGGGATGGCAAACGGGTACAGTTCCGTGGATTCTGCATCGCACCCGCTCCAATTGGGGCGGGGATTGGTATAATTTTAGCGGGTAGTGGGCGGGTGTGGAATTATAAAGTGGTACCCGTCGCGGGTGGTAGGCGGGTAATGGGTTTGAGACATTACCCGCCTCGCATCCGCCCGCCCCACATCCATCCGCCCAGCTAAATATCCATTAAATTTTGGACCATTATGAATTTAGGTGTAATTTTAGAGACTAATTTATAAATTCTAATATTGTATAAGATATAATATGTAATTTAATCAAATATTAGGGATATTTAGTCTTTAATCTGATCTCTTCTTTAGTCTTTAATCCGGTCCTTATCGTAGTTGACTACTTCCGGAGACGGTTGAAGCATTAATGTGTGCTCAGAATTAGCTTTGGGCCGATATTAAAGGTAATATTATTATTTAGTTATATTAGTTGTCAAATTGTGCTTAATTATCTTATTAAAGTTTAGTTACTAACTTATATTTGTTTTACTTTCTATTATATATGTAGGTAGTAATGAATTTAAATTGGAGCGCTCTCAATTGGAGGAAATAGAGAATGATGATTGTAATACTGGAGTATCAGATGTCACAAGTATTGCCTAAAATTTTAGAATGTTGTGCCAAAGACAAAAGCATTATGTGTTTGTCATTTATGTTTCTAGACTTTAATTATGTCTTTTATTATGGTGTTTTATGTACTTTAAGATCTATATTAACACTTAACTCAGATAATCCTTGGATTATTTTATTATGTTTCTTAATGGACTTGTTTTTTTATGTTAGTTGCTTATGTATAACTTAAGTTTGATGTCAGGCAGTTCTAGACGACTACGTCGCTAGTAGGTAGTGGGTGTGGGGATGAATTTGAGAATGTACACGCGTGGGCGGGTGTGGATTTGAAAATTTGTACCCATCATGGGTGGTGGACGGGTGGTGGATTGAAAAATATTAGATGGGTATGGGGATAGAGGAGGGAGTATTTGGACCCGACCCGCCCTTTTACCATTCCTAATTACATTCGCTCCCTGAAATTTTATAAGTCAAGTTCACCCCTCCTGAAATTTTAAAAATTCAAATTCACCCCATAACATAAAATCATACATCCGTCCATATGATACTTGGACTCTCCTCTCCTGTGTAATTTCTGAATTATGTTCATATTTACATATGTTAACTTGGTTAAATCACATAATCTCCAGTTTTAAAAAATTATATATTTATATATATTGGCCTCTGAAAGCTGCTCGAGGACTTTATATAAAGGGGTGTGTGGGGCTTTTGGGTATTTACGGGTAGAGAGTTGGCGAGCTTGATTACATTTTATTACTTATTAGTGATAATTTAATTTGTGTTCAGTGCGACTAAAGTTATGGGGAGGAAGCCTTGCTGTGACAAACTTGGAGTGAAAAAGGGGCCGTGGACAGCTGAGGAAGACAAGAAACTCATCAACTTTATTGCCACCAATGGCCAGTGTTGCTGGCGTGCTGTTCCCAAGCTCGCCGGCCTCCGCCGCTGTGGCAAGAGCTGCCGTCTACGGTGGACTAATTATCTTCGCCCTGACTTGAAGAGGGGCCTTCTTTCCGAGGATGAAGAACAGCTGGTCATCGACCTCCATGCCCGTCTTGGCAATAGGTTTAAATTTTAATCATCTCGTTTTCTAGCTAAAGCAACAAAGGAGACCCTGAAAATCAAACTTAATAATGGTTTTGTTCTTTTGTTTGTCAGGTGGTCGAAGATTGCATGCAGTTTGCCAGGAAGAACCGATAATGAGATCAAGAATCACTGGAACACACGCATCAAGAAAAAGCTTCTTAAACTGGGAATCGACCCGGTTACTCATGAACCTTTGAACAAACAATCCAAGACTGAAGAAAGTTGTTCCCATGCTGAAAATTCTGCGGATAATAATGTCACCATCTCTTCGGAGGATAATTCTTCCACTAATACTACACCAACTGAGAATTGCTCGACCAGTGACAACTCCACTTTGTTAGACAGAATCTGCAACGATGAATCTTTGTTGACGAGCTTATGGCTTGATGAACCTCCCCTGGTTGATGCTTCATGGAACTTTGCCACACCAGCAGCAACAGAAACTTGTAATAATGAGACAAGCTCGCCATCATTGGAGGATAGCATCGCATGGTTGCTGGATTGTCAGGATTTTGGGATCCATGACTTTGTGTTAGATTGCCTAAACGACAATGAATTAGACACCAGCAAAACAGTAGCTTGATCACGTCCCCCCATAGTAGTGAGTAAAAAACTGTAGCTTAGAGAAACATGTCATCTTTTACCATTATAATCATTTTTAGATAAACTAAGAATATAGTCACTTAATTATTCTCATAATTCCTATTTAGTCACCCAACTATATATTTTTCAAAATCATACCTAAAGTTACGTTTTGATTCCGTTTTAGTCATCTATTGTTAAAAAATTAATGGTGATGGTTACGTGTTACCAAAATATAATATCACATCAGCAATTCTATTTATTTTTTCAACATTATGTGATTAAAATAAAACAAAAACGTAATTTTAGATATGATTTTGAAAAGAAATAGTTAGGTGACCAAACTGAAACCGTAGAAATAATTAGGTGACTAAATTTGAATCATACAAATAATTAGGTGACTAAGTACTTAGTTTACCCATAGTTCTTTAGGTTCATGTACTTCCTTTTAGGTCGTCGTGTTGATTTTTAATGTTATCTGTATATTAATTTCAGAATATTGTTGGACGGTCGAATGTAAACCTCGCTTCTTCAAAGGTTTCTTACCTACCACTTCAAAAGTTATACCGACCCTCATATTTCTTTTAGGGTGTGTTTGGTTCACGAAATGTAAAATTATCAATATGAATAAAAGATTATCAGGAAATAGGATTACTGTGAATGTTGTATTTTGTATTTTGTTGGTTTAGCAGGAATGTAAGATTATCGTGTTTGGTTAAAGGAATAAAAGATTATTGGAATGTATATTTGACCAAATTGTCCTTATTATATATTTGTATAATATTACAAATTGTAAAATATTTATATATTTTCTTTAAAAAATTAAATTCATAATATTTATATAATTTTTTTACAAAATTAAAAATATAAAAAATGTTTAATGAAAGGGTAAAAAAAATTAACCCCTGAACTTCATATAAAATTTTAATTATAGATTTTTTTTTGTAAATCTAAAATAATTTAAGGATAAATTTGTAATTTAACCTTCGTAGAATTTTTATTATTCAATGACAGAAGAATGATATTTTTGAAAAAAAAATAAAAATTTAAGGGCATTTTAGTCCAAAACGCTGGTAATGTTACAATACCTAAGGGAAGGGAGGTAATGACATTCCCGGTAATATATCCCAAAAAAATCTACTATTGATAATAAAACATTACCGGGAATAAGATTCCCGGCCAACCAAACATGGGAATGTGGGATTCCCATCTCATGGAAATCCCACCATCCTTGAACCAAACACCCCCTTAGGAATGTGAGAATATTAAAGAACTACGTAACTAAATATGTTAATTTTTCTTAATATTTTATTTTAGACTCAACCGAAAATATTAAAAATTAATATTTTAAATTACATTCAACTAAAAATATTATAAATTTTATAATATTTTTAATTACACCCATTACCAGTAATTCTTTAATCTTAAATTAAATTATCGTGATTCTCATTTCTTTGTTATTCAACCAAATAAAAAATGTAATAGAAAAGACATTGAGAGAAGATAGGGACAAAATGGGCATGTGAAAGTGCTAGTAAGTTATTGTGAATGTGAAAACATATATCTTTAGTGTGAAAATGAAGGCAAAAGAAGAACTAGTTTGTTGAAATTTAGAAGAAATTAACAAAATTAAGCTACAAGTTTATTTTGACTTATTATGTAAATTAATATATACACTTGACTTTTTATTCAATTTAATATTTAAATATTATTATGCCTTAAATTGGTGTTTGAATTTTAAAAGAATAAATTAATATTTGTTGGTAATATAATATTGTAGCAATCAATTAAATTATTGATATAACATTGATCGTTTAAAAATAGTATTTCATTAAGTATAATGTGTCACAATATGATTGGTTATTAAAATAATTTATTATTATCGCATATCAATTTTTAAAAAAAATTAAATTTCAAATAAAAAATTGATAAAAGAAAAATATAATGCATTCAAATAACTGTATTGTGCTAATAGGAATAAATCTAGAGAATTGGATTCGTCTTATTTTATTTATATCTTTTATTGATAATATATTTTTATTCTTTTATAATTTTATAAATTCACCCACGTTAATGTAAAATTCTATATACGTCGTGAACACTAAAAACACTAAAAAAGGTTAGGATTTTTTTGGGAGAGACATAGGATTAGGGATCGAAACTAGGGATGTAAATGAGACGGGACAGATCGCGAGCTACTCGAGATCGACTCGGTCAAGGCCCGATAAATACTCGGATCGAATGGATTCGACTCAAGCTCGAGCTCGACTTGAATTCTTAACAAGCCAAAACGAGCTACTTGATACTCGACTCGAAAAGCTCGTGAGCAGCTCGAAAATATAATATTTTAAGATTTTATTTTTTTAAATAAATTATTAATAATATTAACATTTATGTGTTGATTTTTTTTAAAAATATAGTAAGATTTTTATATATTTAAGGTTCAAGTTTGATGCTTCAATCTAGTTAAGTTTAAGAATTTTTTTTCATTTCGAATGTTTTTGAGCTGCTCACGAGCTTCAATTCAGAATTTCGAGTTCGAGTCGAGCTTAAAAATTTTAAGCTCGCGAGTTTTTGATTCGAGTCGAGCTGCATTTCAGAGTTTTCGAGTCGAGTCGAGCTCAGCGATACTCGAGCTCGACTCGGCTCGTTTACACCCCTAATCGCAACAAGTTGGGTTGAGTTAAATTTTTGGTCAAGCTCACCTGACTTGAAGAATATGTATCCTCCACCTTAATCCAACCTGACTCGAAAATATACATCCTCTACTCGATTCGACCTGACCCGAAAATATATATCCTCCACCCGACTCTGACTCCACCCGATTTTAAGAAATAATAATTTTAAGGAAATTACATTATTATCTCCGGGTCGGATAGGAGTTTTTTCACCCTCCACCCGAACCAGATCTCATTACCTTAAAATATCCGACCCGAACTCGAGTTTTTAAAAAAAAAAAATCTAACTCTGTCGAATCGAAACATGTCGATTTTGAATTAAATTGGCATCCCTATGTAGTTGGACAATTTCCATCTATCCGAAGAATACTAATTGAATTAATATTATTGGTATTGAAAACTCGTAAAACTTACGAGTTGAAGTGGACTTAATTCAATCTACCATGTCTAGAAAGCAAAGTCTTAAAATGTCAAATTTAAGACGCACTGTAATGAGTTGAGACTCGTGTTTTGTTTATAGATTTGAAAAAATGAGTAGAATGTTGTCAAACACGGCATCGGTTTCAATGGTAAAGAAAGAGGTTGATGGGCTGCAACTGAGACTTTGTTGTTTGGTTAAAAGTTGAATAAAAAGGATTGCTAAAGCGTGAGCCATGAGGTCATCTCCTTATTTATCACATTGATTGTTTTCCTCCTCCATTCTTACACTTGTTGGGAAAGGGGACATGCCGGCTGACGTTTGTTAGATTTGGTGAAGAGCTGCTGTATATGGGCTACTAGGTTGAAGAATATCTTTCTTATTTATTTTTGCATGTCTTATTTTTCTCGTTTTTATTATATGTATTTCCCCCAAAAGATGACTTGGGCTTTGTATAATGAATCCAATAAGCAAAAATACACAACTCTAGCCCCATGACGACTTCTATTCAAATGGACCGTCTAGTTAAGAAGAAAGTCGGTCAACTCCTTTGTAAATCATGTGATCTCTGGAAGAGTTATATATGGTGTTTTCTTGGGCTATGTTAGGCACTCCCCCTAATGTTTTGAGCTCATAGATTTCATAAAGTAACAATGCTTATGTGGTTTCATGTGAATTTACAATCCAGATTAGCTCCAGCCTTATCAACCGGCTCGTGGGAGATGACGTGGAATGATACCGAATTTTATTGAAATAAAAGAATATATAATAGTCGAAGCCTTCTTTTGAATGTTATGTTTGTAGTTTATAGTAACTCAATATTCGTTAATAGATTTCATTTGTCTTTATCAAACTAGACGCTTTAAAGATGATGAAATGGTGAACGAACCAGAACAAATTCACAGGCTGGTTTGCAAAATAGATCTAAATACATCGACAGACAACCACAAATGAGAATCTAACCGCTGCAAGACCATCGACAATAGTAAACTAGATACGAGCAATGTGAGATTTTCCACACAATTGTATGTCTACCACAAAGGTATGCAAACGTGTCACAAAACAAAAGAAACGTATCACAATGGAAGAGTTTTAGTATGTCGAGAAGTCATACAGACATTCATAAAATATACGAAAAATAGGAAGTCAACCAAAATAGATTCTTATTAACAATAGAATAAAAACTAAATAAAAATAATAAATCACATCAAAATATGAGAAAATAATGATAAAGATGAATATCCACGATCGATGATTAACATTAAAACTAAAACTACTGTCGATAAAATCAGAAGAAAATAAAATTTGCGACCGCAAGTGAAAAAGAAAGAAAAATATATACGTTTCAAAATATATTATACTGAGCTCGCAGAGATAGGCAGCTAGCAGATTAAAATCGGCTGATAAATTGACATTGATAAAAACAAAGCAGCTTATCATAATGCAATAATATGTTACTGATAAGAATATCGTATCAATCAATATTAGTTAGTTATATAATTAAATAAACTCCACATGTAACCTTAATAGCTAAAGATCCCTCTCTTTTTTTTCATTTTTCATCAAGCACCAACACATCAGTTTTGTCTACGGTAGAAATCAACATTTTCCTTGATATGTAACACGAACACGACACCCAATTTACTTTGCTAACTCATTCTCCCTCTTCCATGGCTCTCTTTTACACCCTTGTTGGTGCTTTCGCCATCTTTTGGTTTACATGTGCGTACCTCAAATTCAAGGGTAAACCGCCACGCCACCAGGCCCTCGAGGCCTCCCCTTGGTCTGAAACCTTCCCTTCCTCCACCCTGACCTCCACTCCTACTTCGCCGAACTAGCTTCCACCTACAGCCCGGTTGTCAAACTTCAGCTTGGTAGCAAGATCGGGATTCTGGTGACCTCCACATCGGTGGCCCGTGAAGTGCTTAGAGACCAAGACATCGTCTTTGCCAACCGTGACATCGTCTTTGCCAACCGTGATGTGCCTAATACCGCCAAGGTTATAACCGGCGGCCATGATATAGTCTGGAACCCCCTATGGTCCTGAATGGAGGATGTTAAGGAAAGTATGCGTCATCAAGATGCTTAGCAGTGCTACTTTGGAGAAAGCATATGAGCTTCGCCGGAGAGTATTAGTACAAACTGCCAAGGTAGTAATCGTACAAGTTATCCTATTATTTTTAGTAGATATAATTGCACAAGAGATCTTATTCTGATTTGGTCACTAGACTAAAATATTCCATGTTAGTCTTTTTTCCTCTGTTGTGGGTTACAATTGTTGATTTTCACTGATTAGGAGAACAAAATTTTTCCTTAAACCATAAAAGTAACGAAATTCATAGAAACAAAGTTTAAATGGATCCTTAAACATACATTTAATGTTGGACGGGATATGGTGGTGGGAGGATCATACACATCGTCCAACTCAATTGAGTTTACAATGGCTGAAATCATCAGCAAACCAGAGGTGATGAGAAAAGCACAGCAATAGCTGGTTGAAGTAGTCGGGAAAGATAACTTGGTGAAAGAATCCCACATTCACAAATTGCCATATCTACTAGCAATAATGAAAGAGTCGTTGCGTTTGCACCCAATTCTACCTCTACTAGTCCCTCATTGCTCCAGTGAACCCTGCACTGTCGGCGGCTACGCTATCCCTAAGGGTTCAAGGGTGTTTGTCAACGCCTGGGCAATTCACAGGGACCCTTCGATCAGGAAAAATTCACTCGAGTTCAACCCTAGCAGGTTTTTGAATGGGCAATGGGATTTTAATGGAAGTGATTTTAGTTATTTTCCTTTCGGGTCCGGTAGAAGAATCTGTGCTGGAATTGCAATGGCTGAGAGGATGGTGTTGTACTCGGTTGCCACACTGTTGCATTCTTTTGACTGGAAAGTGCCTGAGGGTAAGAAATTAGATCTTTCTGAGAAGTTTGGGATCGTCTTGAAGTTGGAGAATCCACTTGTGGCAATTCCAACACCAAGATTATCAGATCCATCTCTTTATGAATAGCAATTTTAGATTCATTTCCAGAAAAAATGAAAGGGAGACGTTTAAAAGCACCTAACAAAACGCCCTGCATCTACTTTTGCACATTAAAAGCACCTATGACAATCCATTAAAATAATGGATCATGCATCACAGCCCCACAGGCCACAGCTTTATTAAAGCTGTCAACCAAAAGACTAACATAAGCTGGCAGTGCATTCTTTTCAAGTATTTACACCAAAGGAAATTGACTCATCTGGCAACATGATTGCTTAAACAAGGTTTTGAATTATCCATCTACAACAAATTTATTGATGAGGGTGGTGGCCTTTGGTCCTCCACTCAACTACACTTTTCTGCAACTATCAAAAGTTAAAGTTGGATCCCAGAATCTAAAGAAGAAAACCTCATAGCAAACCCAACTTAGACTGAGGCACATAATATTTAAAGTACCATTAGTCTATTACCAAGATCAGTAATCAGTTAGCATTGAGCAAGAAGCCATACCACGATCAAGCCAGGATGGCTGAAAGTGATCACCTATATGCATTGCTTCAAATCACTTTTAAAGTTCTTCGGAACTCAATGCTATGCAATAATAAGATAGAATGATAAAAGACAGATTTATAAAAATGGGTATGTGGTTATATGAAAGATTGGGTTAGGGGGGAGGACTTTCATACAAATATCAAGAATTACCATGTGATCTAGCAAACAAGGCTCATTGGATTCAAGAGTTTCAATGCAAACATCAATCCTCCTCTCCGTGAGGACAGAAAACTAAAGATAGCAGTCAACTATAATTCAGTCTTCCATTGGCAGCGACTACGAGACAGTATCCTAGTCTCAGTCTGGTTTCATCTTAGCCTTCAGTAATACTATCCTTTATTCTTACTTAAATCAGCAATTCCCTCTCATTTACAACCTATTCTTGGCATCTATTACCTATTGGATAACTGAGACTAAACACCTCTCCTCGCATTTCACCAATCAAGATTAATCATCTAAACACAACTGACAATGAGAATGCAACGACTATTCTACGTACAGAAATTTATTTTAGAATGTTAAGAGACATTTAAAAGACCACTCAGGCATAAATAATTGAAAGGGCAACGATAAATTTGTTGATCAAAAGCATGGTGGTAAATATAGATATTTATAAATAAAAAATTAAACCAAACACAAGAATATTAGTATAGCAGTACATAAGTTTCACACAAACACCAAACAGATTCTCTAAGAAAGAGTGTTACCATTACTTCCAAAGTTCACACAGAAACAGAGAAAAATATTGAAAAACGTAATAGCCTCCACCGCATAAAACCCTAGCTTCCTCCAAAATAAAAGAGTCATCGAAAAACAAACAAACTAAAAATTAATGATGGCGTTTCTCACTTGGCGACCATCCTGGCAATAAAATCCTCGTAACGGATCTTCCCATCAGACCCGACATCGACTTCCCGGATCCACTCATCGAACTCGGAGGGCTCCAGCTTTTCTCCGATGCTAGTCAAAATATGTCTCAGATCTGCAACGGCGACAAAGCCGGTGGAGTCCTTATCAAGAACCTTGAAGGCATCGCGTAACTGCTTATCGAAGGGCTCAGATTTCATGTGCTTGGACATGAGATCTAGAAAGCGAGCAAAGTCAAAGGGTGTTGTGAGCTTCTCTTCAGCGACGATAGCTTTGAGCTGGGCTTGGGTTGGGTTGCCGCCGAGAGACCTCATAAGGATCCCTAGCTCCGATGGAGCGATCTTGCCGTCGCCGTCGGTGTCGAAGAGAGTGAAAGCCTCCTTCATAGAAGAGACTTGCTCGTCGCTCAGATCCTTACCCATTTTGATTTTGTATACGCCCTGAATTTGACGGAGGAAAAAAAACCCAAGAAACGACGGGAAATGTTTTTTTTTTTTTAGTAGAAATGAGAGGACAGAGGATATGATGGTTAAATGGTGTACCGTATACACGAAGCGATGCCGTTTTTGGAGCTCTTACCGAGAGAGATATTTGTCCCATCCATTGTTCTATGTGTGGTGGATCATTGGAAATTGGAAATGGATCCGCAAATCCACACATGAACATGATTTCATTTTATTTTTTATCATTAATAATTTCAAAATGAAAGAAACAAAGTTCAGTTTAATAACAAATTATTATTTTCGCTCCAAAATTTATAAAAACAATTTATTTTAATATTAAAAATAAAATAAACATAATAATATTCTAATAGTAAAAAAAAGGTTACAACAGCAGCCAAACTAGTCTGACATTAAGTTCAATAACACATCTCTTGGAGAACACCTCCTTATTACTTTCATTTTCTTTAGTAATAAGTTCAAACAAGTCGTACCATTGCTTATAACCGTGTGAGGTGCCCAAGCCGACCGATGGCCCGAACGACCATCAAATTCAGGTAAAGCAGTTTATGCTGTGGCGGCATCGGTATGTTGTTGATCTTGAAACCATTCTGCAGGCCACCAATCTGGTCTAATTGCCATAACCTTTATATCCTCCTGCCCCCGTATCGCCAATGTATCTTTGAAGGCATCGTCCAGCCGTAAGACACCCATCCCACGAAAGCCGAGTGCAGTTGTCACACTCCCTAGCTTCTTACTCGAGACTGTGCTGACAATTTCTGAACCAGGGGTAACTTTTCCCTCAACCTCTGAAATAATAGACGGGATCAAGATGTGTTGTTGCAAAGGTAGTTGAAATTATCAAAGTCCAGAGGACAGAGTGTACCTTTTCCATTATTATCGATAAACTTTAAAGGAAGCAATCGCTTGCGAATAACCCCCCTGTGGTGTGTACGAGCTATAAGTTCTTGCCCTACATAGCACCCTTTATCAAAGCTGATTGCGTTGAGACCAGCGAAATTGTATTCAAGTGGTATTGCTTCCCCTAAAAACATAATAACAATATCACAACTAAGGCCAGACACAATCGGTTAAGACTTTGAAAACGAAAGTGAAACATCCTATAACATAATTCAAGAAACTTAAGTACAATATTAGGAACAAAGCAAAAAAACACCTTTTGGAATTTCAGTTGAGCCTTCAGCAACTCCCTTCTCTAATCTCCACATAAGGTAATTCTCTTCATCTGTTTCTTTATCAGACTCGACAAAAGGTGCTGCAACAAAGAAAAGAATATGAATTTGTTTAAGCAATAGGTGAGTTGCATGATTTCTTAAGAATCAATAAGATTCTAAATCGATTATTATCTCGAAGCCATGACTTGTGTTAAAAAATGTAGACAAGAATAAATTTCAGCAGCAACAAAAGATTTGTGAACTCACGTATTGTACCAGACCGAAAAATCCCCCTAAAACCTAGACAATCTAATCTGGGATCCTTAAACCATTGGCATCCAACAGCACTGCCATGTGAAGCTGACTTGCTCGAACTATCAACACCACTGCCCCAACCAACTGAAGCTGCCTCTGGTTCTTCAACAGCAGGGGTCTTTCCGGGAAGGTCACCACCGTATCTCTGCCAGCAAAGGAAGTCTTCTGCCACGTTCTTGATATCTACTTTAGACCTCAACCGGTATCTGCAGCACCAAATGTAGCATATACCAAGATAACCATTAAGAGGAATTCCAAATTTAGCTTTACTGTAAAAGACATACACATCAATTTACTATAGCCAAATGTCGTAAAGAAAGAAGAACATTTTTAGATATATCTCTTCAACAAGCCATTTTTGAATGAAACAGCAACACCGCATAATTCATACAGATTATGGATTTAACAAATAACAGAACTCTGAAGAAATGCAAAGACGCAAAGACTAATAAGTTATCTGATATAAAACTGAACACCAATGTTTCAATTCAAGCATATTCTCAAGCAAAATTTCTAATGCCACAAGCAAATTTATACATGGCATTAAAGGTCCATCCAGAATTAGGAAACACAAAAGAAAGCTTTTCTGAATTTAACCTGAGAATGAGATATTCTAAGTAAACCGAATGCAGAAGATGTAGACAACAGAAAATAATTATTTAAAAAAGAATATTACAACAACAAAAAAAATCATTTGAGAGAATAATTAAACTAAATATACCCACTTCTTAAGAGTTGCCAACAACTCATCCAAGATCGAGCTATCAACATCAGCCAAAATCTCCACCGACTCACCACACCCGCTACCTGGACCGGACCCAGTTCTGTCCAGCTTCTCCTCAGGCCGGGGCGGCCTATACAAGAACAAGTCATACAAAAACCTCCCTTGAGGCGACAAAAGAGCTGCATACATAGGAGGAACCACGACCGAGGCCACGTTCGGTGTTGGAATGGGGGAGTTCCCTTCACGTGGGGGTTCACCAAGCCTCCGTACATCGTTAGATAAAAGACCCTGAAGGAATTTGATGGTGTCGGACCCCGAGAACCGGATTACGGACCGGGATTTTAATTGGGAGCACAGCGGACCGGCGTTTTGGAGGTTGTGAAGGCAACGATGGTGAAACAGAAGCGAGGGTCTGAAACGGTGCATTACAGAGTCGTTTTGGACTGGAGATTTGGATTGTTTTCTGTGAGGGTTTAGACTTCGAAGAAATGCCAGGAATTTAGAGTTGTCCGGCTTGGGAGATTAGGATGATCGACACGTGGGTGCCGTTCGAGTTTTCGGTTCGTTTACACTGACACGTTGATGTCGTTGTTGATGTCGAATTCGGGATAGAAACTTGGGCTTTCACTTTACGTATGTAGCCGCTAACATTACAATTCGTTGGGCCTTTGGGTCTCACTCTATGTTCATTTAATTTGTTTCTCTTTTGGGTAGATTACGTGTTTAGTACATAAATTATCAATTTTGGTCCATTTTAATATATAAACTTTTATTTTTTTCAAAATCATACCTAAATTTTGTTTTTTGTTTCATTTTAGTACCCACCATTTAAAAACTTTAGTTTTTGTTTCATTTTAGTATACCGTTCAAAATTTAATGTTAAGTTTTGAACAAATTGAAAGTTTAGGTACTAAGCGCGTTAAGTTTTTAATTGTGGGTATTAAAATGAAATGAAAAATAAACGTTAGGTATGGTTTTGGAAAAAAAATGAAAGTTTAGATACTAAAACAGACCAAAACTATCAGTTTGTTACTAAATACGTAGTTTACCCCTTTTTAAGAAAAACAAATTTAGTTCTTAATTAATAGATTAAACTACGCTAATGCTCACTAAATGTTTGAGTAAGTTTCCATTTTCCCTACTTAAGTTTCAAAAGTAACAAATCATGCACTAACGTTATCAATTTGTAACAAATGATCACTCCACCGTTATCTTTATTAAATTGAGGACATGAAACCGTCAGTAAAAATGTTAATATTTAATTTTACCGTTAAAATATTGTTAAAACATCAAATAGGTAATTAAACAACAATTTTATATTTAATTTATCCCAAAAGCTTTCTAATTTTAAGTTTTTTTAACACCCTACCGTCTCAATTATATTCTAACCACTCTCCGTACAAAACAAAAATCATACTTAAATAAACTCTCATTTGTCTTTAAATATTCTAACCACTTTCCTTATAAAACAAAAACCATCCCAAAAGTATTATTTTTTGCATTAAAATTAATTGAATATGTGGCTTTAAATACCCATGTATTTGTCTTTACCGTAAAAACTTCATTTATCTATGCAGTGTAATTTTTGTTTTGTAAGGAAGGTGGTTCGAATATAGTTGTGGTGGTGGGGTGTTTAAAAAAATCTATAAATTACAATACTTTTGCGGTAAACCATATATAAAACCATTGTTTAATAACCTATTTGATATTTTAGCAATAATTTAGGGACAAAACTAAATATTAACTTTTTTATCAACAATGTCGTGTCATCAATTTAACCGAGATAATGGTAAAACTATTTTGTTATAAATTGATATGTTAGTGACCGTTTTATTACAAATCGATAGTTATTTTGTTACAAATTGATAATGTTAGTAATCATTTTATTGTAAATCGATAACGTTAATGACTAATAAACATTTTTAATATCCTGAAAGCTTATCCATGCAGGTTCTTCTAAAGCCTAAATCTTTCAGTTTAAAGGCATAATAAAAAGAGTGAAGCCTAAGCAATGATCTTCCAAATTAATTGTTTATGTGCGGTTGTCTGTTGACCTAATTTTCGGTTATTAATGTAAGCGGAAGTCAACATCGTAACCTAACCCATCAAAATTTCCACGTCAGAGATGAAGCAGAGTTGTACGTTTTGGCAAGCAAACCCGGCTGAAAAAGTCAACGAGTCAAATGAAGAGACATAGCTGACTAGTACGGTACGATTATGAGAAAATTACGACATTGAAGTTTGAACATACATTTATATTGAAATCATATAAAGTAATTATTATTTCAAAACTATACAATCTGTTTACAAATATCAAATTTAGATTACATATTCGAAAATGATCGTATACAAATTTAAATCTTTAATCCATGAAATAACTTTACATACCAAAACCACCTCTGTTATATGAAGATTCAGACCATCGATCATAGGACCCAATTTTTTTTTTGATTTTTAATTAATTCATATATGATGCATACGCCGATATTGAAAATATAATTTATTTATGTTCAATCAATCGAAATTTAAATAGATTTTATTTTCTATGATTATATTGATTAAAATATCTTCTTAAAATAAAAAAAATATTTGAATTATTGGACCAAAAAACAATATATTATATCTTAGTTCAAGATGTAGATATTCGTGCAAGCCATACTTTAAGGACAATAACAAGTTTCGAAAATTTAAAATCTTGGGAAATTAAATTATAGTAAAGAATTTTTGAAGATCTTTTACCTTGAACGTTTATGTAATATTTTATTACTTAACAGTTATTTTTATATTATTTGTAATCCACTTACATGTGAGACCCAATAACGAGTAATCATCAATTAACCT